TTTGCCATTGTGATGGAACTCCATCAAGACCAGGTACTGGAAGTCGATCAAGTGCAATAAAATTAAAATTTGAACGAAATTGCTCAAGTGATGAATCTTTTGTAAGACCTTCATTGAAACCAAGAGTTATAGCCACTTGATTTTTATTACCAGTAAAAAGACTACCACTATGTTGTTCAAATGGAATAGATTCATTAGTTAAATCTATTTCAAGTTTATTTTTATTTGTATCAAGCCATGATTCAATACGAGATTTGATTGAAGCAACTTCAGGAGTGTCATGTTCGTCAGCCATATTAGTTGTTTTGCACGAGTACAAAGAGGAAAGAAATTATGTTGTCGTTATAAAAAAGTAACAGAACGAGTGCAAGCTCTATTTATTAACCGTCAAGACACAAAAGCTCGCATGTTGAAGTCAATAACAACTATTACTTTTGAATACTCCAATCGTGTACGTTATACACGTATTCTATAATTTTATTGCTTCATTTTAATAACCATTCGATACTATTCCTTTCATCATAAACAAATGAAAATAAAGATTATTCATGCAGTAATTATTTTTATTTAGACCAAAAAAAAAGAATGTTCTATTTTTTCTTTGATGCTAAATATAGACTTTCTTGAATAAAAGTTTCTCTTCGCATGAAATAATAGTTATTCATTAATAATATTGTTATCGATTCAATATTTTTTTTTCTTTTGTATTGAATAAATCGATAATAAAAGACTTTCAGTAAAAAGCAAAAAAGAAAGATTTTATATTCGTATAATTTTCTTTGTCTAACACGTTCAAAATCAAAATATTCATTTTGTAAATTGATTTTTAGAAAACATAATTCTAATATTTGTGTACTTCGATTAAATTTACTATTACGATTAAATTCGAACAAGACCAACTAATAAACAAAAAATTCAAATAGAATAAAACTAACTCAGATGAAATTATTCAAGAGAAAACTTTTTTTTATTATACCTTTCTTTCCGTTAAGCTTTACATAAAATTATACTGAAACTTCTTCAAAAAATCAAGAGAACTTCACTCTATTATTTTAATTCTAAGAGAGCCTTTAGTTAAATCTAAATTAATTTCTTTTTCATTTGTATTAAAGCATGATTTAATATGAGATTCGATTTAAGTAACTTCTTTTATATTCTGTTCGTCGACTATAACTAATCATACTTAGAATCGGTAGGCATTGTTTTTTTTTCAATTCGTCGATTCCAATAAAGAATTAAACCGGCGAAAAATCGGTTTGTTTAACATATTTATTAACTTATTAGTTATTTCGAGAAAGTTAATTACTACAGTTTCACGAAAACACACAACATGAAACTCATAAAATCCTCGGAATTTCAAATAGCAACAACTTTTAATTTAATCTGCCACACTCTATCTACACTAATAGTAAGAAAGAAATAAGAACTCTTATGAAATTTTTCATCTATTTGTTCACCATAACTGATTTTGTACAAACATCGATGCTTTGTTGTGTCTGAGCTTTGCCAGAAGAGATATGATTTCTTTACAAGAACTAATAAGTTATAATCTATTCTTATTTGAAACCATTATTTAACATAACTGAACAACTTCTTGATTCTGCAAAGGCTAGTATTATCGAGAGGAAGACAACATATCTAATAAAGTGTAGTTCAATATTAGACTACATATATTTAGGTTTCTTAATATATAGATATTTTCATAATTGGTTTGATCCTACAGATTGGCATAACTTTTTCAATGACATGAAATCTTTTCTTATAGTTTTGCATCGAAACGATGAAATGAAAACGGTGACGAGCCGTTGAGACTTTCTGACAGTTAGTCAATAATAGTCTAGAAAAATGAGCTCGATATTGCCATATAGAAAATCTGTATTTTAGATGGACTTTAATTTCTGATGGCTAACAAAATTTTCGTGACCATAATAAATTCATTCAGCATAATTCAAAGTCCTTATCATATGATGAGAAGTCGTGAGCTCAATATTATGAGCTGTAGTTTTTATTATTGACTACAAATTTATAAGTTGAACACTTCTAAGTTCATTTTTTTGGCTCTTGCAAGGAATGGAAATCGATGAAAACGAACGAAATAGACTAATTCCTCAAAAATGATTAAAAAAATCAATGAAAAACCTGTCGCACTTAAAACTTCAACCGGGAACGGTTCCATTTCAACTGTAATATTAATTGTTTTGCATGATAAACAAGAGAAAAAAATGCATCACTAATTATACTCGAGATCAATTATAAAACAGAAAATCATTGTCGAACTTGATTGTTAGTAAATATTTCCATTAGAGAATTCAAATACCAGAGTTATTCGTACGACATCTTTCTTTTCTTCTTCCATTAATGATGATTTTATCAGTAGACTAACATTTGATTGTAATTACAAATATATACGTGGCTTTTCTCGCTCACGAAACTTTAAATTAATCAGAAATTATTTACATTTCAAGGGCCAAGTATAATCTTTTTTTTCAATATCTGTTTAAAATTGATAGCTGAAGACATGCAACCGCGCGAAGAATCTTTCGTTTCTTTTTGTTTCATGACATTTTTTTTCTTAAAATTTTTTATAAAATGACGAAATATTAGTAAACAGACGAATGTCATCATGATTTCTCTATTATCATTGATTCTATATATTATCATTTTTCTTTTATTCATTCCGACAAAGTCAGATACTGTCCATCAATTACGAGATAAACGAAAACGTCGCAGTGAATTAGCTGAATTTGATATACCTACAGAAGAAAATTTACATTTTCGTAATGTTGTTCATCGGACTGGTGTCGTTGCGAAAAACATAGGTGGAAAATTAGAAACTAAACTTGGTCATAGTTATGAACTTTTAGGTCATCGTATGTATCTACTTTCTTCTTGAAACTAAAAATATCCTAAATCAAAACTATAGATATATCTCATCTGGGTTCTCAATTAGAACAAAACAAAAATAGTCTAGCAGAAAAAGCAACTAATATTTATAAAGGTCCAATAGCAAATAAAACTGGTATTGCTTTTGAAAATATTCAATACGGTTATGGAAAACTGGGCGACAGATTAAGTTTTATTCTCAATTGGTTGGGTGAAAATGTGATCACACTAGGAAATCATACTAGTTCAATTATTCGCTCAAGCTTTTATACCATCGGTGATATTATCGGATATACAATTGAGAAAACAGAACGATTAGTTGGTAAAGGATTAATGAAAACTAGCCTAAAAGTTCATCGAGCTGGTAAATAAAACAAAAATACTATCTTTTCATGTTTTCAACCCATTCATACTAGCGACTGATCTTCAACATACATCACATATAGATAGTCAACATCTGCAAGATAAATTTCAAGAAACAGCACCGAAATTCAAACAATCGATAAATCGACTAATTAGTACACTTGGTGAAAAAATTCACACACTTGGAATTGACACTGAAACAGCTGGTCGAATTATTGAACAACATCATTTTCTTGATACACTTCAACAAGCATACGACAATTAAAATCAAAACAAAAATACTACATTCGACATATTTTCACTTTCCAATACACTTTTTATTAACTTTAATTAAGCAACAAAAAAAATGTACATGGCGATCAGAAAAGAAAAATTTTTCAATATATTTCTGCAAGACAGTGTACAAAACTTTCAAGAAAATAAATACAATCATATCTGCTTTTTACAATTTTATTTATGTTTTCGTTTGAGTGACACTGGCTAAAAGTTCAAAAAAACTAATTAAATATCAAATAGAATATTTACAACTAACCTTCTTTTTCATTCCTTCCACTACCTTTTTTGCTACATGAGCAGATTGAATTGCTTGTTCTGATTCGTATTCTTTAAATCTAATTATGCTGTCATCATGACTATAAATTAAAACTTATAAAAAAAAAAAAATTTCAAATATTTTTCCATAACTTACTTCGATCGAATTTCATTTTCAGATGCAATATTACTAAATAATACAGACTATATAAAAAATTCTTTTAAAATAATTTCTTACTTTTTACCACAATCGATTCGTGGTATACGTACAACAACTTTTTGATCCGAGTCACCAGAAACATTAGTATTTACACTTTTAGTTTTTTCATTTTCCCCATCATTTCCATCTAACAGTGATTCACATTTAATAATAACTAAAATGTTAAATACATATTTATTTCGAAAAATCGATTTTTATTACTTTTTTCTCCTTGCAATACTGCAATAGCTTCTTGAATTTTACCTATAACAGGTCGAATTTGATCTATTGGAACAAGTGATGATGTATTATGTAATAAAATTGTTGATGCTTGTCGAACAAGTTCACGATATGCAAGCATTTGTTGTTCAAATATGGTTTGATATAAATTTAAACATTTTTGTAATTCACATATAACAATATCATTTTGTTTTTTTTCTTCTTCATAATAAACATTATGTGCATTTAAATGATATAAACATAAGTTACGATCACAATGAATTGAACAACGAAATAAACGTACTAATTCGCGAGATGATGACACAGCACATGCTGGATCTTCACAATGACCAAGAGTTGGAAGCATTTCTATTGAAATTCAATACAAACAATTGTGATTCATTTTTCTTTTTTGGAATACTTTACTTTTTTCTTTTTGATTCGTTTAAAAAAAAGAAGTTTAACTGTTAAATTGGATAACAATTACAATCTAAATAAAACATCAGAAATATTGAAGAGTATGACTTTTTTTTCAAAATTAAAAGATCAAAGATTATTATTCGATCGATATGCTCTGTTATGTCATCAGCTATATATTTTCTCTATCTATGATGTTTTACTGTTTTGTCAATTTTTCACTATCGGTTTCCGATAATTAATTACTATAGACTATCACTAAGATTAGTAGAGTAAACAAATTGTTGATGGAAAGTTCAAGAAAAAATAAAAATATAACCAAAGGTCAAATCACCAAGACATTAACAATTACAGAAAAAATAATCATGTTTATAAGAATTATGTATTGCAAGAAAAATGATTTAATGTGACTAGTACAAAATTCAAAACATGATGAAAGACTAATTCTACTATGTTTCATTAATCAAAAATAAGGATAGTCTTTTCTCGCACATCAATGTTAGGAAATAAAGAATGATGAATAATCACAAATTAGTTAACACAGTGTTCTTACTTCTTTTTCTTTTTTTGAGAGATGTTCAGAACGAAATGAAAGTATATGTAATGAACTTGTTCGACGATGAATTTTCTTTTCATTTGTCACTATATATCTTCATATAGCTAGCTATTGAACGAACAAAGAAGGTCAGAAATAGATACATCTCTCGTGAATGATCGTCCGATAGGAGTGTCAATATAACGTCCGTTATTTCTATGATTAAATTAGTTTGTTTTCATTTCGATCAATTTAGTATATTTGAGTAGTATTTTTTCTTACTGAACAAAAGAATATTTGTTTTCCGACATGTATTTTAATAGAAGTAAAATAGTTTTTTCGGTGATATTTGAATGAAATTCGTATTTTCTCAACGAATTTTCGTCATATTGTAGAAAAAAAGATAAAATCAATCAACCATAACCGACGATTTGTATTGTTAAGAAAAGAATATATTCGTATTCGCTATTAAACTTTTCATTATGCAAGCGTGGAAAAATAACAATGTGTTTTAATTATTCGAAATATTTCACATTATAACGGAAATAACAAAATATTACTAATAAAATAGTTTAAATAGTGTGAGATACTTGATAGATCAATCTATCAGTTTTTTCGATTAAACAAATGAAAACAACAACTCATTGATCGCAACGGGAATCATCAGCATGAAATATTGAATCTATTAAGTAAGAATACTCATCTATGGCAAGGAATTGCATCAAAAGAAATTAATTATTGATTTTAATTTGATCCAATTTTTGAGTTATGAATACATACAACTGAACTACGTAATTTTCTAAGTCTATATAAATGTTTATTATCATTGCATGTGATTAGTTTTTCAAAAAATATAATCAGCATTATATGTATTCTGACAGAAATTTACCTCTCGTCCTTCCTAAAAAATTACTTTGTCAGAGTGACCGAAGTTAAACTAAATGCAGGGGAATATAACCCGTGATCTAATTTCTCATAAACGCAAAAATTTGTAATTTGCATCTTGTTTTTCCAAAAATTTTTGAAGATTTCCGTCATTCCCTAGTCGAAAAATAAACTATTTTCGAAAAAATCCGGAAATCTGTTTCGTTTTTTCTCGTTTTATAGGTTTTCGGTCGCAGCTGCAAGATTTGTCGTAGGAGCTTTATTATAGCCAGTAGTTTTTTGTTTGAAAGAACGTGTAAAACTGAAGTGCCTATGAGAGCTCGTTTTTGATAAAGCTTTGCTTTTATTGTATTTATAAACACTTTTATAATTATGGCACCTTTTTTTGAGTCATTGAACTTTCAGTTCCTTCTTTCCTCTAAAAGTAAGAGTTTAGAAACAAAAAGGCTCTCGTAGGCACTGAATTCTGACATACTCTTTAAAAGAAGCAAAAAAATATTGAATGTATAGACTGAAGAACATGGAGAATTTTTGCGGATGAAATTTGCTATTTTTCAACCCTTATTTGGTCAATATCTCCCTCAAACGTTGAGGGGAGAGGGGGTCTACGAAAATTGCTTGATACGAAAATTGGTCGACTCGAAAATTAGTCGACAATTTTGTAATAAAAGAACAAAAGCTTTTTCTGAAACAGAAGCTCGAAGTTTGAAGTGTGCAGGCGAAATAAACACTAATTATATTAATATGCTAGTGTTAGAGAATAATAATGATTCAGACAAATAAGTTAGACAAATAAAAAAAAGGAATAGTATTTTGGAAATTATGAGCAACTCTTTCTAATTATTGTAGTAATGTTTCCTGGCTTGAGAATACGCCTACTTTTCCACCTCATCCTCAAAATCAGCTTCAGCCTCACCTTCATCCTCACTCTCACTCACACCCTCACCCTCACTCTCACCCACAACCTCACCCTCAAGATACTGGTCAGAGTTCGAGCTTCTGTGCAGGAAAAAGGTTTTGTTCTTTTGTTTTCAAAATTTTCGACTAATTTTCGCGTCGACCAATTTTCGTTCGACCATTTTTCATCTGAGCAATTTTCGCTTTCCCTTATTAAATATCTCGTATATATCTTATTTTCATGATTAAAACCTCAT